TGGACTTCAACTCCCAGAATTCCTGAGCCAGCCATGCTGAGGGGAAAGGGGAGAGGTTTCAAAGCTGAGCCGTGCTGGCTCAGGAATTCTGGGAGTTGAAGTCCACGGGTCATAAAAGAGCCACCCCTGGTCAAGAGGATGGCCATAATTGAGTGGTTGAAATTCCACAATTAAAGGCTATGAAATTCAAGGTCTAAGGCTACAGTCGAGCAATAACAGCTGCCATTTTGATTTTGCTGACCTGTCTTATGGATAGATATCAGAGCTCAGCTACCATCAGCATTTTAGGGACAGAAGGAAGTGTTGTAGGCAGAATTTGGGAGGATAATTCACCAAGGTAGCTGTAGATATAGTAAGCCATTCTGCAAATGCTATTTGGATAGATCTACAAATGCTGTTAGGGTAGCTGGTTGGATGCACTTAGATTTTTTTTTAAAAGTCCCGCCTTTATTATTTTTATCAATAATTCAAGGAAATGAATATCTCCTTCCTCCTCATATTTTCCCTACAACAATAACCCTGTGGGTTGAGAAAGAGGGATTGGCCCCAAATCACCCAGCCATCTTTATTGACTAAGGTGGGACTAGAACTCACGGTCTCCTAGTGATTGGCCTCAACTCACCCCGCCACTTTTCATGCTTAAGGTGGGACTAGAACTAACTATCCCAAAGTCACCCATCCATCTGTCACGGGTAAGGTAGGTCTAGAACTCACCGTCTCCTGGTGATTGGCCCAAAGTCACCTAGCCGCTTTTCATGCTTAAGTCCAGACTAGAATTCACAGTCTCCTGTTTTCTAACTTCACCACTAGACCAAATTGGCTTTCCCCCCACTTTTTTCTTCACTCAAGAGGCCAGGTGGATGGGCCTCGAAATCAAAAAGCAGAAGAGCCGTGGGGCTGAGGGATGCCACGGGGGCGGGGGGAAGAGATTTAATAGTGGGCTCCTGCTGAGCAACGCATCTTGGCAAATGCCCAGCAATGCCAACTCCTGATGCCAGCTCTGCTACGGGCTTCGCCAGGCGGTCATTTTCACCTAGCATGCAAATGTAAGAAATCATTTATTATTATTATTATTATTATTTTTTAAAAAAAAAAAAAAGACTGTGTGAAAACTCCTGGAAGTTGGTTCTGGAATTCAGTTTGGAGGCTATTGTGGAAATGAATCTCTTAATTAATTTTGAAGGCGCATTTCCAGAGGACGGATCTATTGAACAGCGTAAATGCCTGCTGGGAGACACAATCCTTAAATTGGAGCTGGCGCTTGATAATCAGAATATATAGGCTATTCCGCAAATCCCTGAATCGTGGTAAAGGTAAAGGACAGAATGCAGGGGAGGTGGCCTTTAGGAACACAGCATGGAAGGGACCATTTTCCTGGACCAAATGGCATTGCCTGCTTCTTCCCCTTTGGTTGGTGGAGAAAAGAGAATTTTGGCAATTGCGACAGAAGAATCACAGATTCTGCTACCAGAATCTGGGCTGTCAAATCCATATGACAGCAAAAAGACCCAGAAACCCACTGATTCGTGATGTCAGTCCAACTTCAGCTCTAGGGAATAGAGTAGAGTAGAGCAGAGTAGAGTAAATAGAATAGAATAGAATAGAATAGAATAGAATAGAATAGAATAGAATAATGGAATGAAGTAGAAGAATAGAATAGAATAGAATAGAATAGAATAGAATAGAATAGAATAGAATAGAATAGAATAGAATAATGGAATGAAGTAGAAGAAATAGAATAGAAATAGAATAGAATAAAATAGAATAGAATAATGGAATGAAGTAGAAGGAATAGAATAGAAATAGAAATAGAATAGAATAGAATAATGGAATGAAGTAGAAGGAATAGAATAGAATAGAATAGAATAGAATAGAATAGAATAGAATAGAATAATGGAATAAAGTAAAAGAAATAGAATAGAAATAGAAATAGAATAGAATAGAATAGAATAGAATAGAATAGAATAGAATAATGGAATGAAGTAGAAGAAATAAAATAGAATAGAATAGAATAATGGAATGAGTAGAAGAAATAGAATAGAAATAGAAATAGAATAGAATAGAATAGAATAGAAGAATGGAATGAAGTAGAAGAATGGAATGGAATGGAATAGAATCACAAGAGTTGGAAGGGACCTTGGAGGTCATCTAGTCCAACCCCCCCCCCCCGCTCAGGCAGGAAACCCTATCCCATTTCAGACCAACGGTAGCCCGATCTCTTCTTAAAAGCTTCCCGTGATGAAGCACCCCTTCCTCCTCTCAGCTTCCAATTCTAATCTCCCTTCTCCTCTGCAGCCTGCTTGCCGTCCTTGGAAAAGGGCCAATCCAGAAATCCTCGCTTCACCTTTATAGCCGAGGATGGCTGTGCAAATGTCAGGCACATCCTTTTTGTTTGCGGATCCGTTTCATGCCGCTGCCCCTGAACCTTCAGCACTGCACAGAGGAGAGAGAAGCCGCGCTGTGCTGCTTCTCCCCCCCCTCCCGCCTGGTTGTAACGGTGGTGTAAAAGCCACCTTGGAAACAGCGTCGATTTCTCTGGATCCCTGGGTCCAGTCATGGCCCTCCCACATTAGCAAACGGCCTGACGCCCTCCGGAAACTCATCAGTGAGGCCTTCAGGCTGATCTCTCTTCTCCCTGTGCTTGGCCTCCAGTCCAGCAGCTCCTCGACTTAACAAACGTTTGTTTAGTGGCCTCTCGAAATTACATCGAGTGACTTACGACCGTTTTTCACACTTACCGACCACTGCCGTGTCCCCACGGTCACACGATCCAAATTCAGCCTCAACTAGAGTTGAGGTAGACGGTGCTCAACTCACGACCGCGTCTGTTACTAAGCGAGACAGCAGTTCACTGGGTTCTGCCCCATTTTATGACCTTTCTTGCCACCGTCGTTAAGCGGATCACTGCAGGGGTTAAATTAAGTTAAAGGGAAGCTGGCTTCCCCATTGACTTTGCTTGTCAGAAGGCCACCAAAGAGGGTCGTGTGACCCCAGGACATCGCATAAATCAGGGGGGGTGTCTTCAAACTTGGCCCTTTTATGACTTGTGGACTTCAACCAGCAAAGCTGGCTGAGGAATTCTGGGAGTTGAAGTCCACAAGTCATAAAAGGGCCAAGTTTGAAGATTCCTGGCATAAACCATCAATTGCCAAGCGGCCGAATTTTGATCGCATGATCGTGGGCTTGCTGCCACGGTCGTAAGTGTGAAAAATGGTCATAAGTCACCTTTTTCAGTGCCGTTGTAACTCTGAACGGTCACTAAATGAACGGTTATAAAGTCAAGGACCCCCTGTATTCAGAGACCCAATGCCTTGAAACGTGTATCATGAAGGCCCTACGTGGTTTAGCTGAGGTTTTCGTCCTTTCGTTCTTTTGTGGCTAGGCCAGGGGTAGGCCACCTTGGCTCTTTTATGACTCGTGGACTTCAACTCCCAGAATTCCTGAGCCAACCATGCTGAGGAGAAAGGGAGAGGTTTCCATGCTGAGCCATGCTGGCTCAGGAATTCTGGGAGTTGAAGTCCACAAGTCATAAAAGAGCCAAGGTTGCCTATCCCTGGTGTAGCTTAACTACTTCTCTGTAGGATTTTTTTCTCTCCTCCCAGGTAAGGTTTCAGAGTGCAGGACCTGTTTTATTTATTTATTTATTTTACCTTTTGGTCCTTTTCCCCCCGCCTCATCTGGACCGTGGGACCAAAGAGGCAGAAACCGTTATCTCCCCCCCCCTCACCACCACCACCGCTCCCTTCTGTTTTCCGGGGATGGATGGAAAACGAAAAATTAATGCTCAAGGTGAACACACACACAGTGCTAGGACAAAGGAGTGTTGCTGACTCAGCGCAAAGCGGGACGGGTGTCATGTGCCACGGGGGTGGGGGTGGGGGCGTTGGCTGGTCCTTTGCAGCATCAGCGGTTGGAAAGATGCCTAAAGGCTGAGGGGGGGGAATGCTGGAGGGAGTGGCCAGTAGGAGGCGCTGTGCTGGGAAAGTTGGCCCTTGGCCGTGGGACCACTTTGATTTATCTATTTATTTTTTTGCTGGAGACCAACGAGGATTGGCAGCTAAAGGAGGAATGCGCTGAAGTGAAGGGCAGGGAGTGTCAGATAGGTAGCCGAGAGCGTAATGGCAGGCAGGCGCTGCTGTTGTGATAGTGGCAGAAATAAGGGGGTGGGGGGCAGCACTTGGCAGAAGACCCCGCAGGAAGGACCAAGCGAAATATTTACTGTAGGTCACCTCTAGATCAAGTTTATCACCATGGGCAGATGACTTAGTCCCCGTTCATCTTCCAATAAAGCATCCTTTCTTAAACATCTGAACGTAAAAAGGCTTTCTTTCGTTCTGCCGCTTTTATCTATCTATGATCCTCCCTGATCTATTTGTTCTCTAACACTTTGAAAGAGGGTTAATTGGGAAGGAAAAATGCTCGTGGGAGGGGAAACACCACCCACAATTCTCCTGTAGCCAACTCTGCAAAGAGTGGAGGGCTGGGATGGCCCCTTTGCGCTGCCTTGAGCCTTATTTCCAAGAAAACGTCAAAAACATTTTGCCAAGGAGCTACTCACAATTGCCCTATAGAACAAGGAGAGACCTTCCTCCATTCCCCAATCAAGGTATACAATCTTCTAAAGCAGGGGTCTTCAAACTTGGCCCTTTTATGATTTGTGTATTTCAACTCCCAGAATTCCTCAGCCAGAGAAATTAGAATAGAATATAGAACAGAACAGAACAGAACAGAACAGAATAGAATAGAATAGAATAGAATAGAATAGAATAGAATAGAATAGAAATAGAATAGAATAGAATAGAATAGAATAGAATAGAAATAGAATAGAATAGAATAGAATAGAATAGAATAGAATAGAATAGAATAGAATAATGGAATGAAGTAGAAGAATAGGATAGATCTGTTCCAGGTACTCATGCAAAGGGGGCTTCTTTCTGTCCTACCTGCAGGTGGCAGCGCAGAGGCCACGGCCGAACGTTCTCCATGAGGAGGGGTAGAAGATGCCGGCTTTGCCCGCGCTGCTGCTGCTGCTGATACTCGCCTTCGCCCACCAGAGCTTGGAACTGTTGTCCTCTCTGCGCATGGGTGAGTAGAAGACCTTTGCTGTGGGACGGTGAATCGGTGGAACGGCTTGCCTTCAGAAGTTGTGGGTGCTCCATCCCTGGAGGTCTGAAAGGGTTTAGATGGGGTCTTCTACTTGAGCAGGAGGTTGGACTAGAAGACCTCCAAGGTCCCTTCCAACTCTGTTATTCTATTGTCCCAAAGGTGCTCTTTCAAGAGGCAACCGGACTTTCTCGTTTTTCTTTGAAGATGTTTCGCTTCTCATCCAGTGAGCTTCTTCAGCTCCGACTGGATGGTGGGGAATGGAAAGATTTATACTCCTTGCAGACAGCTGGTCATTTGCATCCTTTTATGAGAGTCGTTGAGGCCACTTGGAGGTTTGTGTCCTCAAGATGGTGGGGAATGGAAAGATTTATACTCCTTGCAGACAGCTGGTCATTTGCATTCTTTTAGAGAGTCGTTGAGGCCACTTGGAGGTTTGTCTGTGTCCTCGAGATGGTGGGGAATGGAAAGATTTATACTCCTTGCAGACAGCTGGGCATTTGCATTCTTTTATGAGAGTCGTTGAGGCCATTTGGAGGTTTGTCTGTGTCCTCAAGATCACCTGAGTGGTGCAAATGGGTGTGGAGCCTTCTTGGAACTGCTGAAAGGACTGTGTTGTAGACTGGAAATAGATGATGCCATATCCCTCCCCCTCTGTTGAGAGAGGGCTGTTCAGTTTTGACATAAATGGCCTCTTTCACTCTTTCAAACCAGCGGAACCTCCAAGTGGCCTCAACGAATCTCCAAAAGAATGCAAATGACCAGCTGTCTGCAAGGAGTATAAATCCTTCCCTTCCCCACCATCCAGTCAGAGCTTGCAGTCATATGGTCGTTAGCACTCTTCCTGAGAGTCATTCAGTCAGAACTTGAAGAAGCTTCTTGGATGAGAAGCGAAACATCTTCAAAGAAAAACAAGAAAGTCCAGTTGCCTCCTGAAAAAGCACTTTGGGGACAACCATGACCTGGATGACTGAGAATCTCCATAGACATCCGTTATTCTGTTGTTCTAAGAGAACTTAAAGAACGTGGAGGGTGGTTGAAGCTTTGGGCAGAAAGCCAGAGTCTCAGTTAGCTTGACCTTGGGCATGACAGTGGCTGGAGAAGGGGTGTCAGTTGTGGTTCAAGAAGTCCTTGTTATCTTTGCAGCCAGATGGCTCCAGGAAAAATGGCAAAACCTGGGCGTTTTGTACAGATTTGGTCCTTGGAAGCAACTGCAGAGGTTGAAGTTGCTTTATTTTCCAAGCTAGAGGGCATCGGTGTTTGTCCAGGGCTGAGGTTAGATCATGGGGTAGACAAAGAACAAGGATCCCAGAATCTGCAGGGATTTAGAAGAAGAGAATTAAACAAGAAAGATGAAGGTCAGAGCAGTCGTGTTATGACCACACGTGTTCTGACGTCTTCCAGAGCAGTGTTTTTCAACTTTAGCAACTTTACGATGTCTAGACTTCAATTCCCAGAATTCCCCAGACAGCATGGCTGGCTGGGGAATTCTGGGAGTTGAAGTCCAGTCATCTTACAGTTGCCATGTTTGAGGAAGACTGCTTCCAATGGATTGGGGCAACAATTCCCACCATTCCTGCTTGTTCATTGTGCTGGCCAGGAATTCTGGGAGATGTCACCTCTGTACATTGGAGAGGTTGACAGTCATCTTGTGGAGATGGTTGAGAAAAACAATGTCTACACTCAGGGAATAGTTCAAAAGAAAGTTTATTTGACAGGGATCAAAATTACCTTCCTTCCTTCCTTCCTTCCTTCCTTCCTTCCTTCCTTCCTTCCTTCCTTCCTTCCTTCCTTCCTTCCTTCCTCTTTTTTGTAACCATCATCGGTTCCTCTCTCACGACCAGCTGCCATTTTGGATGACCAGACAGTGTGTGGACGTGGGGAGCGACTCGCCTTAGCTTTGGCCCGTGAACACATCAACAGCATCATTGAAGTGCCCGCCAAGGCCCGGGTGGAGGTGGAGATCTTCGAATTGCAGCGGGACAGCCAGTACGAGACCACCGACACCAGTACGTTGGGGGCCCTCCAGCAGGGCATGGACAATCTTCTCAACCCCTGAAACCAGGAAGGCGAGAAGGTGGAGCTTCTTGAAGTTGAGGAGGGGCCACTGTAAGGAGCAATCAGTTATGATATGTTGAGCTGGCTCTATCCATCCCTCAAAGTGGGCTTAACTATACAAAACCCACATCAGGATGCAACGATGTGTTGTGTTGAAACTGTCAGTCAGTTGGAAAGTCCTGCTTGTTAAGAACAGCATCCTTATCTCTGGGGTTTGTGAGGGATGAACTTCTGGGTTTTCCGTTTGCACGACAAGGCCTACCAGCAACTTTTTGGCCTGAGAAGGAGTTGTGTCAAAAGCACCCACCTGGGGAAGTGTGGCCCTGAGGGAGCTTTCCTAAAAGAGCCTTTGAAAGTTGAGGTCAAGGTTTCAAGCCTTGGATGGTCAGTATAGGCCAGGGGCCTTCAAACTTGGCCCTTTGATGACTTGTGGACTTCAATGCCCAGAATTTCTCAGCCAGCCATGGCTGGCTGAGGAATTCTGAGAGTTGAAGTGCACAAGTCATAAAAGGGCCAAGTTTGAACACCCCTGGTATAAGCCATTTGAGCAAGGTCAGAGGTACTGTGGTAGAATGTGGTCCCAGAAGAGAGGGCAGTATTCAAGAGCAAGGTTCCCCAACCCCGGGCTGTGTCCCGGTTCCAGTCGGTGGCCTGTTGGTAACCTGGTTGCAAAGCTGGAAGTGAGCAGTGGGTGAGCAAACCCTATTCTAAAACTATACATACGTGGGATCTAGGTTATACTCTCCTCCCCACCCTGAGTCTGTGGAAAAATTGTCTTCCACGAAACCGGTCCCTGGTGCTCAAAAGGTGGAGGGCCGCTTTTTCCACAGGACTAAGAGACAGTGAAGTTTAGATTGGGGTGTCGAAGCTTGAAAACATCAATTCCCAGAATTCCCCAGCCAGCATTTTTCCTTCGTTATTTGTCTTCTTTCAGTATTTTAAAACAGGGATCTTCAACCTCGTCATCTTTAAGACTTGTGGACTTCAACTCCCAGAATTCCCCAGCCAGCCACAGGTTTTAAAGTTGCCAGGTTTGTACACCCCTGTTTTAGATAGTTTGATTGAAAGGAAGCGAGTAAAGACTCCTGCGAAGTTCTCACAGCCTATCTTCAATGTTGCGAGTAAGATTTCGGTCTGCAGGTGAGGAACAATAAAGGAAATTGCTTAGAAGTAACTCTGTCTGTCTTGCTTTTTTTGGAGCCTGCCAGCTAAGCGAGACTAGAAGAAGGACTTTAACTTCTTCTAGACCTGCTTCCGAACTCCACTCTTTTGTGCTTATGAAATGACTGGCAGATAGTAAAAAAAGAGAAGCCATACAATAGAAGCTTACAAAGGCGATAATGTTGCTCAGTACGGCAAGCTTGGACTGTGCAAGGAAAAAGGTGGGGTTTTTCCCCCTCTCCTAACCTTCTTCCCACCCTCTCTGTTTCACGCAGTGTGTCAGATTCTGCCCAAAGGGGTGGTCTCCGTTTTGGGACCAGCGTCCAGCCCGGCCTCTGCGTCCATCGTCAGCCACATTTGTGGAGAAAAAGAGGTGAGCGAACCCCGAAGTCATCACCATGCCTTACATTTTTGGCAGCTTTTGATGATAGCACCCCCCTTTTCTACCCCCCAAAAATGGGACTGGATTCTAAGTTTTCTTTCAGAAAAGCATGTAATAGGTAGTCCTCAACTGAGAAGCAACCTAGAACTAAGAAACTTCCTGACAGTTAGAACAATTAACCAGTGGAACTACCTGCCTCCAGAAGTGGTGAATGTGCCAACACTGGAAGTTTTTAAGAAGAGACTGGACAGCCATTTGTCTGAAATGGTATTAGGGTTTCCTGCCTGAGCAGGGGTTGGACTAGATGACCTCCAAGGTCCCTTCCAACATCATCATCATCATCATCATCATCATCATCATCATCATCATCATCATCATCATCATCATCATTATTGATCATCGCACAGTCAGCCAGATGTTCAGACTGGATTTGGCATTTTTGTCTACCTATTGAGTCCTTCTCAAGGACCTGGGATAGGCAGATGTGGATGTTTGATGGTATTACAGATCTCGTCGCAGGATGGAAGCAGTTCCTAGTAAGGCCGCCTTTTGCAATTGACTAATGGCGAATTTGTCAATGCCGATGATGGTGTTCAAGTGGTGCTCCAGTTGTTTTGGGATTGCACCCAAGGTGCCTATTGCTATTGGTACTACCCTTGCTTGCGTTTGCCACAGTCTTTCTATTTCTATTTGTAGGTCTTTGTATTTTGTGATCTTCTCCAGTTCTTTCTCGTCTATTCTGCTGCCTCCAGGCACTGCAGAATAGACGAGAAAGAACTGGATTTTGTAACTTCAAACAGTCACTAAACGAACAGTTATAAGTTGAGGACTTTCTGTATGTAATAATACAGGACATCCGCTGGAGTCTCAAAAGGGCCAGACTTGCATTTGCTTAAAAGGTGAAGTTTGGCTTCTCTCCAGAGGCAAAGATTTAGGCACGGGTAGGCAACCTTGGCTCTTTTCTGACTCGTGGACTTCAACTCCCAGAATTCCTGAGCCAGCCATGCTGAGGGAAAAGGGAGAGGTTTCCAAGCTGAGCTATGCTGGCTCAGGAATTCTGGGAGTTGAAGTCCATGAGTCATAAAAGAGCCAAGGTTGCCTACCCCTGATTTAGGCAGTGGAATGCCTTGGATCGTCCAATTCCTGCTTTTAGAACTCCAGTATGCTAGTTTTCCCCCTCCCCCCTTTCTTTGGAAAATGACATGGATGTTTCTAGACCTCATGATTGCGTAATTTTGCTCACAGTTTTAAAAACCGCTGCAGCACTAGGAAGAATTTTGTAAATATAGTACAGGTAATCTGCGACTTTGGACCACAGTTGGGACCGAATTTCTGTTGCTCAACAAAACAGTTGTTCAAATGATTCACGCTCAATTTCGCCACCTTTTTTTTGCCACGGTTGCTAAGCGAATCATTACACTTGTTGAGTGACTCGTGCAGTTATTAAGCGAATCTGCCTTCCCCCGTGGACTTCGTATGTCGGAATCCGGCTTGGAAGGTCCCAAAATGGCAGTCAAATGACCCTGGGAAAGCTGCATCCGTTGTCAATATATATATATATATATATATATGCTAGTTGCCAAGGGCTGAAATTTGGATCATGTGACCTGTTGCAAGTCGCTTTTTCCAGTCCTGTTGCAACTTTGAATGGTCGCTAAAGAGAATCATGGTCAGTTGAGGACTGCATATCGTTACCGTAGGCAGGTTTAGTTCTGTAGAAGTTTGACCTGCTGAAGCGTTTTTCCCTGCCCTGGTTTTGTAGTCGCCCAAGGAGAGCGGCCTTATTGTCAAGAAAGCCAACGATGTCCTTCCTTCTGTCCTCTAGATACCCCATGTTAAGGTGGGTCCTGAAGAAACGCCAAAATTGCAATACCTGCGCTTTGCTTCGGTCAGCCTCTACCCCAGCAACGAGGATGTCAGCCTGGCGGTGTCTTGCATTCTGAAGTCCTTCAACTATCCCTCAGCAAGCCTCATTTGTGCCAAGGCTGAATGTAAGGAACACAGTTGTGCTGTTTGGCAAGGAACAGGATTTGGGGGTGCTTGGCACGGGGTGGGAGGTGTTCTCCATGTACCTTTGGTTTATGGTAGCCCGGGAGCCAGGATTTACACGATGTAAAAAAGATGTTGAGACTCTAGAAAGAGTGCAGAGAAGAGCAACAAAGATGATTAGGGGACTGGAGGCTAAAGCATATAAGGAACGGCTGCTGGAATTGGGTATGTCTAGTTTAACGAAGAGAAGGACGAGGGGGGACATAATAGCAGCGTTCCAGTATCTCAGGGCTGCCCCAAAGAAGAGGGAGTCAAGCTATTTTCCAAAGCGCCTGAAGGCAGGACGAGAAGCAACGGGTGGAAACTAATCAAGGAGAGAAGCAACCTAGAACTAAGGAGAAACTTCCTGATAGTTAGAACAATTAACCAGTGGAACAACCTGCCTCCAGAAGCAGTGAATGCGCCAACACTGGAAGTTTTAACTGGACAACCATTTGTCCGAAATGGTATAGGGTTTCCTGCCTCAGCAGGAGGTTGGACTAGATGACCTCCGAGGTCCCTTCCAACTTTATTATTATTATTATTATTATTATTATTATTATTATTATTATTATTATTATTATTATTATTATTATTATTATTATTATTATTATTATCATGCCCTTTTGACAGAACCTTGCCGAGAACTCCAGTGAGTGGCTGTATTGCACAGTGGGTGGAGGAAGCTCCCCCTTTCACATGGTGTGGACAGAATAATCTTGGCTAGTCTGTGAGGTCCGAAAACAAAACATCTGATCAAGTAGAAGGGTACTCTTATTTCCCAAAGCTAGCACAAAACCTGATTCTGCTGCCGACTGGATATAGTCAGTACTGGCAGTAGAGGAAAAATTGCAAGGAGGGTAGAGGAAGAAAGCAGAGAGTACATTTGAGACAAGCATGCAGATTTCGGACTTTTCGCCTGGAGTGATTTTAAGTATGGGAGTGCTGTATGAGATCTTCTTTTTTCCTTTGTGTTTTGGCTTAGCATAAGAGAGGGAAAGCTGTCAGAGGTAGTCAGTCATGGTTGCTAGCACCCCCCAGCCAATTTGGCCTCTGTGATTGATGGGAATTGTAATCTGAAGAGTACCTGCTTGAGAAAGCTGAGATACAGGTAGTTAAATCTGCATTCAGAATCAAAGCAACTAAATTAACAAGCCACCTGTTAAGAATGTGCCAATAGAAATGGCTGCTGATGTAGGGGTGAGCAGAGATTATGTCTATTAAAATTACAGCAGGCAGGAGAGTGAGAGAATAGTGTTAATAATACCAGCCTTTCAGATAAAATTGGAGCAATTTTATGCAGGGCTGCAGTCGTGAAAATTGCACCCCTCCAATCAGCATGCTGGGCTGCTGATAATTATCAACACCTCCCTGTAGCTGTAATTTTGGATTTGGGGGAAGGAAAAAAAAAAAAGCAGACGTGTTAAATGCAAAAATCAATTTAGTATTATGTCTGGTCATCAGGGGTGAGTGGATTTAAAGAGCAATGTTGCTTGCCTCAACGTTGATGCTGGGCAGACGGGCCACCAGGAAACCCTCTTGTGAAGATCAAGCCATCATCGTGTTTTGATCTCCACAGTCTTCCGAAAAGCAGAAGTCAAAGAGTTTTGATTCAGTGAACAGACTCAAGAGATATTCAATCATGTTTATTTGGGTGGCAGAAGCTTTCATGTTCTGACTGAACGGGCCCAGGGTCAAATGGGCAAGCCTTGAAGCCAGACCACAAGGCTAGCTTGTAGACAAGGTTGGCGTAACGTTCTGCTCCTTTTTCTGCCCGTCAGGCCTGTTGAGACTGGAGGAATTAGTGCGACAGTTCCTCATCTCCAAGGAAACCCTTTCGATCCGGATGTTGGACGACACCAACGATCCCACGCCGCTGCTGAAGGAGATCCGAGACGACAAAATCTCCACCATTATTATCGACGCCAATGCTTCCATCTCTTATCTCATCCTGAAGAAGGTGAGAGAGGATGCCAGGGCCGAACCGGGGCAGGAACACAAAAGTTTTGGGGTTTGGCCATCAAGGGCAGAGTAAGCAACTTAATTTACAGTACACCGGAATGTTCTATTCGATGGATCTTTAGTCTCTCAGCATTATGTGTTATGAGGACTCTCTCCTGGGAAGGTGACATGGCTCCTGACCATGCTTTGTGTACATAATGAACCCAAAGGCTAGTTGCATACCTTGATTAGGAATGGGTGAAGATCTCTCCTTGTTTCTCCCCAAGCTATTGGGCGATTGTGAGGCCCCCTTAGAATATTTATTTAGTTGATTTCGATCCTGCGTTCATTACCTC